CTAGCATAGATATACTTGAGTATAAATAATCAAATTTAATAATTAAAAAAAATTTATAAAATTCAAAATATGGTATGGCTATAAATTTAGAGTAACTTTCCATTGAACTTTTTTTTTGATAGAGGTAGAAAAAATACTCGAGAATCTTCTATTAAAATTTCTAAGGTTATCTAGAAAATGAAAAACTTTTATGCATTTTTAACTGAAAAATAATTTACCAAATTGAATATTCTCATGGCTATATAAATAGCACACAAACTTAAAATATTGTGAAAATGTTTCCATGTAAGGAAAATTCTAATATTAATATTTTGTGAAAATTTCGAGTGTCTATACGATTATTGATTTACAACAAAATATCAAAAATCGATAAATGGAAATTAGTTAATTTACCTGTAAAAATCCAATATCGTAAAAATTTTAAATTCAAACACCCATACAACAATAATGTTCCGTTTCAGTAAATTTTATTTTGATAAGTAGCGAAACTTGTGTAGAATACCATGGAAGGAAACATTTTTACGAATTTCTAACTAAAAAAAAAATTGAACATTTTCGAGATTTTGATGAATTTTGACAAAGTTTTAATTTTAAATACTCATAAAAAATAATCTTGCCAATGTATTTTTAATATTTTTGAACTTCTGTTAAAGAAACTTATGAAGATTCTTGCATTACATTTTCAAGTCTTTTTACTGAGTGAAAAAAATTTCATCCGGAATAATTTTTGAAACAAAATTTCAAAATTCGAATAATTTCTCATGGCTCCATTTAATTGCTCCAAAATAGTCAAAATATTTTAAAAATGATACCATGCTAATATAAATACTTGGTAAAAATTTCAAGTGTGTATAGTGTATATAGTGTATATAGTGTATCAAAATAAAATTGATATTTTCAAATATTGGTTTTGCCTAAAAATTACCATTAAAACCTCTCTACAATACTACTAGATTTACTTTTCCATCAAACAAGCTGATGTCGAGAATCGTAGCATTTTAACTATCCCAAAATGTTGATGACAGATAGAAAATAAAACACACATCATTGTAAAATCAATACATTCGTTTGCTACTCTCAGAATCTAAAATAAAATTTACTATTATGTAATAAGCGTAATAGATAATAACATTTAAATAAAAGATGTAGAAAAATTGTTGTATTAACTAGGTTTATTGTACACACTATACAAACCAAAAATAAGAGATCGAATGAATGAAGTGTTAAATTTTAATTAAATCGTAAATCATTGCATACGAAAAACGATTCTGAGCGGAGGCAGACTCTCAGCCTATTATCATTTTTATATAATATATGTGTAAATAATTGTAATCTCGTATAAGCTAGGTAATAGCATGAAGTTAATCTAAATGTTTCAAAAATATTATTGTGTTTATAAAATTTATCCTCTTAAAGTTTCAAGTAACAACGAATAATATTTTTAAATTACAAGAAAATAACTTAAATCGTTATTCTTGGTTGAAATATGTAATTTTGTTCAAGGTTTTTATGCTGATAGACGTTATTCGCTCAGTATTGTTTTTCGTACATTCAATAATGTATCATTGAATTCAAATTTTAACATAAACTTATTTCAGTGTACAGTGTATTTAATGTTGAGGTACACTCGACACCAACTGTAAGTACAAAAGAGCGGTTACCTATTTCCATCCTATTTTAGATTCTATTGATTTTACAATGATGTGTTTTTTTTATGTATATTTATTTATTTAATTTAATTTTTTTTTATGTTTGTCATCACGGTTTTTTTATGTAAAAGTGCTTCGATTTTCTTCAACAGCAACTTTCCTGGTAGGAAAGTGAACCTAATTGGTGCATTCGGGAGGCCAAAATTTAAAATTCCCAATAGTTTTCAAAAGCAATAGGAAAAACAAACAATAAATTAAGGATAACGGGAATTTTTATGCAAAACCATTTTTAGAAAAAAATCGATTTTGGTTTTTAGTGTAATCCTCAACAAAAATGATGGTAGATCCCTGAAATTTTCACTGAATATTTGTGCGAACATTTTCTATACATCATATAATTTTCAAAATATTTTGATTTGTGTTGAACTATTTATAGGCATATATTAAATTTTCGATTATTATTGTTTTTTTTTTAAACTCAAGTCAATAAAAAAATTTCTTTCTGTCAAAAATTTAATACAAGGTTCCTTGTAAGTTTTTGTTAATGGATATTAAAAAAAAAAGTTGAGCGTAAATCCACAATAATTTTTTATGAGCGTTTAAACTTAGAATTTTGACCGAGTTCGTAAAAATCACGAAAATTAGAAATTTATATTTAGTTAGAAATTCATAAACAAATTTCTATTTATATCTAAGATTTAAAAATTTAATACAAGATTCCTCACAAGTTTTTCTACCTTTATCAAAAAAAAAAAAAATGTCTACCATAAAATAAATTATATTTTTATGAACGTTTGCAGTTGAAATTTTTTCAACATTGGATAATCGTTGATTCTCACGTAGCGATTTTATTATTTTGCTGTAATTCAAAAACGAATTACCGTAGACACTTAAAATTTACACCATATGTTTATTTCATGAATTATAATATAAGTATAATTATAATATTAGTATAATTCATATACTTGATAACATTTAAAAAATATTTTAACTCGTTTGAAGCTGTTCATAGACATTTTCAATTTTCATTTTTTTTCTATAAATGTCATTAAAATTTTATTGGTTGGGTCAGAAAGCACGAAAATTTAATACACGACTCTTGATAACATGTTACAATAGCAGTAGAAAAATATTAAAAATACCTAGTCAGGATTTTTTTAATAAGCATTTAAAGTTCAAATGTTGACAATATTTGTCAAGTTGAAAATTAAAAATAATTTTGGAGTTAAAAATGTATAAAATGTTCAATTTTTATAGCTAAGGATTGAAAATTTAAAACAAGAATCTACTTAAGCAGTTTTTTCCGTAAAAAAAATCTAAAAAAATACATGAATACAGTTATTTTTTAGAGACATTTTAAGTTCAAATTTGGATAAGTTTGTATATAAACACAAAGAATAACATTTATCATTTTGTTGTAATTCGGTTCCAAAACAGCTCAATTTTACATAACTATATTTGATATTTTTCCGGCATCACTAGTAATTTAAGAATAATATTAATTCAACTTCCTGGCTACCATCATATTAATAATAAGTAGTAACAATATAAAATATCCTAGACTTACATATAGTCTCCGCTCAGAATCGTTTTTCGTATATATCATAATGATATGATATCATTGAATTCAAATTTCAAATTTAATACCATCCATTACAAGGACCTCCTAGACACCTAATGTACAGCACAGCGACGTCCACTTATCCGCTTTTTAAATTTTTATAGCATACATTTTAAATGCTGAGCGGAGCGATGAATATATTTATTTCTCAATGATATGTATTGTTTTTGTGTCTGTGTACACGATACCTAAGTTGTCGATATAATGCTTCGATTTTCAACTTCAGTATCTTTTCTGGTGGGAAAGTTAATGTAGTTGATGCATTCGTGTGGTCAAAATTAAAAAAATTTGCTTTAGTTTTCAAAAGCACTAGGATAAATGATTATTTTACGCAAAATCGATTTTGATTTTTTGGTATAACTCTCTTTTTCCTTATGTTACTTGATAGGTATAATTTTATTTTGTATTCATTCAAAAATGTACAAATAAATAAGACAAATATCAGAATGTCTTCTTCTTGCTCCATGTTAACCTAAAATTAAATAAATTGTTGTGGTTAGGTTGGTTTTTGAAGGAGGTGGGCTCGTATGAGCACTCTTTTGAAACAATAATATAATACAGTTTAATAGATAATCAGATTAATTATGTATCCATATCATGCTAATGATCATAATAATCCTTACAGTCCCTTTAAAAATCCAAAATATGATACAGAGTTTGTTAAATGGGTAACTAAAATTAAAAACCTTATAAATTATAATATAGGTACCTACCTAATATAGGTAGGTATTAGCGATTAGATATTACCTATTGGCTATTATCTACTGTTATACATAGGACGACATGTAGACATGATGTAAAACCATCATCTAATGAAGTTTATAGATCATAGACATAATACACAATATACTATCAACATTGATGTACAACATTCAAAATAGGGTACACTTATGACCAACAAGTAGGTAACCATATTTACTATGCTTTTTAGCATTAAGTACTAACTGTTTCTACCCATAGTCTGTACTTATCAAAGTGTCATGAGTAATAGAAGTTATAGTTATATGTAATACATATAGGTTTCAATATTCAATATAGACAACAATGGTAAATTAATGTATTATTTGGTATTCATGTCTATGTTTGTTGTACGCTTCTTAAATGCTTAAATTTTGCGTTGATAGTTGAAACATATAGATACACTCAAATTTCTTCTTTGAAAATCTTGAATGTTGCTAGGTTATTAAAAAGAAAAATGGATTTTCTTCTTTAATAGGTATTTTATTAATAAAATATTTTGTACATTAAACATGTATGCTATTATTAACACTTTCTGCCCATCTGAGTGGTATTGTAGAATACTATTGTATTATACTACTTCACGAGCTACTAGTTTGAACACCCACTAATCATGATACAATAATTAACAAATATTAATTATAGTGCCAAATGCCAGTGATTTAGAACATTGCATATTTACAATTTTACACTGACATAATAATAAATAAAAATAATACTTATAATTAATCCAATTTTTAATTCATAGGTACCATAGTAAAGTGTACAAAGTAGACACACTTTTTTGTAATAAATAATAATAACTATTTAGTATTTAATATAACAACTGACATCGCGAAGGTTGACTATTATTATAGGTATATATTATTAAAGTTATGAAGGATAAAATCACATCAGTTGAGAAGTCTGTGTGGATAAAATATGATAACAGATATTTTTATCAGTATTCGACATCCGTGATAAGTGATAATCTCATTTAACAATCATTGATAAAGTATTAGCGAGGAGCCGAGGAGCGACATGATCTGATGATGGTCCGATTAATTAGGATTTTTAGTTTTTACCCATTTACTTAATTTGTTGAATTGTTAACTCTGAAGTTTACGTATAAGCTATAAGCTGTGTTAAATTACTGTACTAAATTATAGTTTAGCTTTTTATTGCAACTTACTCGAATTGTATCCAAAATTGCTCGTTTAACATGTATTCATAATATGTTATTATATTTTGGCCATCAGAGTTAAGTTCAGTTTACACAGCTGTGCCATTTAGTTAACTTCATAAGAAAATATGGACTTCTCGATACATTAATACATTTTGATTCAACAATCTAAAAAGTATCATTCTTCTGATGTGAGTGTTTACCATTTATAACTTGTGCATATTATGTTGGCTTAAATTATTATTATAATATATTTATGCACCTTAAATACTTAAGTTTAATAATAATGTATAGAATCTGACTAAATAATTTTCATCTAGTGTGTTAAATTATGTGCTGGCTCTAGACACTATTGATGCGCCAATTAAAAATACATCTATTATTTATTTAGGATAATGCAAAATTATTACTACTTAATCTAGTCAATGAAATATCTATTTCAATGATTACAATATGTAGTACTTTATTTCATAATTGTGAAAGCTTAATTAAAAGTATTATATAATTATATGTATTACTTATCTTAAACACTACCACACCCTTTGATTATACTTCCAATTTAAGAATAAAATAATTCAATTTTATAATTATTGAATTTGAGAGTAGGTAATATTATATATTATAATATAACAATAAACAACTAAATACAAGTTTTTATTTTGCATGATTTGGTAAATAAGTGAGATAATTCAGTTGAATATGTATTACCTTATTATTATATACTCATTATGAGAGTATATAAGTTTTTAGCGATAACAATTTGCATATTACATTTTTATTATCAATAATAGATTTTGAAAGGAAGAAAAAATATCACCTCTAAGATAAAATTGTATTTAAATCTTATTTTTCAAGTTCAGCCAAAAACTATTACTAATAAGGCTCGCAAAGTATATAGTTTAGCTAACACTATAAAAATAAATAAAGAATACTTACAGTATACATATAGTATACAAAAAATTACATTTTATCGGATTACGCCACACCCAAATTTGTTGTCTTCTTCTTTTAAATGCATAACATAGACAATTTGTGTTTAGCAGAACCAATTTTATATTGCTATGTATAACATTATAGTGAAATTATTTATTGTTTAACTTAAAAATATCTGTGTTTATACATTTGTTTTTTAGAATATTTTAATTTTAAATCAAGTTTTGAGTTAGTAAAATATTGTAACATAAAAATATCTGTCCCTTGCTTAAAACTTTCAAAATATTGTAAGGCCTATTGTGTAAACGAAGATAATGTTCTAACTTTTAAGCTTAATAATATGTCTATTCACTTTAAGTTTAAAGGTATTACGCACCAGAACTGACTAGACAGCCAGGTTAAAGGTTATAACTTCCAGTTCAAATTTTCTTGGTCAAAACTATGAATTCTTTAAATTATATTAATGTTGATATTTGGCCTTAAACTCATTACTATATAATCTAGTATATTATCCATTCACTTATTTTTTAAATTTTATAACTATCTTCATATATTATTTCATATTTCAGTTATAATATAAAATTTCTACTTTCATTTATATCCGTAAAAAATAAAAGTAATTCATAAATTTAATCTACTATAATTATTTTAAAAACACTACGATTCTTCTTAAAAGTGTACAACAATAAAATTATTGGTTATATTTAGGGCATTGATGATGACAATTTCCAGGAAACAACAATTTCAAAATATTTGAGCAATTATTATTTGCCATAATAACCTTGACTTATTTTCTGTTATAGATTCGTTACATTTTACTAACACAATTTATACATCCTAAAACTTAGTATGTAGGTTCTTTTGTATTTAATATTTTTATAAAAATACTGAAAAAATAAATACTTCCAATTTGAATTATACATGAATAATTCAAGTTTCAACTAGTGAAACCTAATTTTAACTTTAGAATATTATGAGCATTTAGTATGTATAATTATTTATAATACAATTACAGTATTTTAAATTAACCATACAGAAATACTTGCTTATTTTTACAATCCATTATCATTTATTAACTTAACAATAAGTTATAGTAATTTGTTTCGAACAATCAAATATTTGAATAAATATGTTTGGTAGTAGATTTTGAGTGTATCTTATAAATTGCCAGTAGGTAACTATGGTAATTATATTAAATTTAAGTTTATTTATAAATTATTACATACAAAAAATATTTTCTAACTGAGACTGTTATAGAGCCTTTATTTCTAAGGATATTTTATAATTGTATTTATTTATACCTATTATTATTAGTAATTTATTTTTGTATTGGTAGTAAAGTATGTTGGAACTAATTTTTAATAATTCTGGAATAAGTTCATAGTGTAAATAGCTTGAGATTCAGGGGTACTTGAAAATTAATTATTTTGTGTGTAAAAAAATGTCTCGGACAATCACCTTGGACAAATTCATAAGGACCACTGTTAAAATCAGTCTTAATATTTTGAAGACGTATAGAAAGAAAATAATAATATGAGTCTAAAATTAGTATTTTTTTTCATATAAAGTTTACAACATACAGCTAAAATAATAGAGGAAAAATTGTTTATTTTCAATTATCTAATTTAGTTAAATTTAGCAGTCCAAGTTCCATATATCTATATAAAACATTGAACCTACTTTCAATATTATTAGAACACTGTAATGATAACTTATGAAGAACCTTAAATTACAAAATATATATTTATACATAACTGTAAATTAGCTTAAAGTTAGTCTAAATATTTTTTTTAGAAAATGATTATGTAAATTGGTAATAGTTCAATGTTTCTGCAATTATTATTTTTTGAATAATAATAAAATAACAAAAATTGTTTAATGAAAATTGTTGTTCTACATTTGAATATCCATTGTTCTCAAAAATTAAAATCATAAAAAAAGTATGTGGCTTTAAGCTAAACGCACAAAATGAGCAAAGCTGTTTTGAAAATGTCATGATAAATAGAAAATGAATAATATAAATATTTGGTTAAAACGTCAAGTTTCTTTCAGTATAGGGATTTTGTCAAACCCTGGTACTATGTAAAATATTCCCTTTTTTCTATAAATGGAGTGTTGAATGTATTGATTTTACAAAGAAATGCATTGTTTTTTGTATGTAGATTCTTTGAAGATTTTTGTAGCAGAAAAATACTTTCTCTTCAAATTGGAGGTGGTTTCAGGTATCCAACTGGTTCTCAAAAAGATTTCATAATAATCGGGAGAAATAAAGAAAAATTAATGATAACCATGCATTTTTACATGAAACAAATTTTTAAATGAATACATTTTGTTTTAGAATCTGTTGTATGTATTGATTTTAAAATGATGTATTTCTTTTTTTTTATGTCTTGTCATCTCCTTTTGGGACAGTATAAGTTCATCAATTTTCAAAATTACATATTAAAACTAAGACAGTTTTAGTTATTTTGTTGTAATTTAAAAATATTATTCATGAGTTTTGAGACTTTTGGAGTGCATTATTGTATTGTATACACTATGCAGTAAACACATAATGAAATATTAAAATATAATTGTTTTGACAAAAATTAATTTAAACTTCTGAAGTACTAATGCCCAACAGTAAAATAAATTACTTTGACTACGATCATGTCATAAAATATACTTAGTACTATTATAGACTGAAAATCGTCTACTCTCAGAAACGTTTTTGTATACAATGATTATTGAAGTCAAATTTAACACATTCATTACAGTAACTCTCTAGACACCTAATGTACAGCAGAGAAATACCCACATTCCCTCTTATTTTTGTTTCAATACAAAAATTAATGACTGTAAAGACTTGACATTTTAACCAAATATTCATATTGACATTTAATAGACATTTCTATTTAATTTATTACTATAAATTACAATTTTCAGTATACTTCAGCTCTCTTTGTACTAATTATAAATATTTGAAATTGTCAACTGTTTTTAATTTATTTTTGATTTATAATACATCGAATAAAAAATTTAAAAATTGAGTACAAGTTACTCATAAGTTATTCTTACTTAAATTAAAACTTATTTTAAGTTCAAATTTTTATAAAATTAGTCAATAGTATGAAAATATGAAAATAATTTTTCATAAAAAATTTAATTTTATTATCTAAGGCATTAAAATTTGAATACAATTATCAATAAGCTTTTTTCTGAAATTTAAAAGGAAAGTTGAGAAATCGAATTAGTTTTAAATTTTGACGTCATTGGATATTCAAAAGTAAAATAATCTCCTAAAATGATTTTTTAAATCTGAACAGAACAATGAATGTATTAATTTTAGAATGATGTATGTTGTTTTTTTTGTTTGTGTACACTTTAAGTAGTTGTGAAATAATGCTTCGATTTTCAACTTCAATAACTTTTTTTAATGAAAAATAAAATTAGTTGATCCATGCATGAGGCCAAAATTAAAAAGTTACTAACAGATAATGTATTTTTTTTGAGGATTAATAGTAGTTTTGATTAATATAATCATAATATTTAACTACTTAAATCCGTTTAACTCTTATATATCATATAATGATCATATAGAGTTCAATGGTTTAATCATTGACTAAAATTTTAATGTGTGATTAAAATTAATAATGAATAATTTTATAAATTTATTTTTACAAATATGTAAAAAACTAAAAAAAAAACAATAAATGTAGTCTTTGAGAAACAGATGTTACATATAGTAACTTACAAATAAATAACATTTATTATTTTTTCCTAATATTCAACCATTAGGTAATTAAATTTGTATAGAAACTGGACTCTTGTGTTGCTTGTTTATTTACCATTCCTTTTTCTTTTTTTTAAACCAGAAAAGCTTTTTTTATGCAATATTAACTATTGTAATATTTGATCACAGGGTGTCCTGTAGATATACAATTATATTTGTCCTATTACTGTCATTAATTAATTTATTGTTTTTTTTTTTTTACAGTCAGATTTTGAGTAGTTAAATAGTTATATAAAAATGGGCGGCAAGACAACAAAGTTATTTAGAAGCTCACCACAACCAAGTCCCAAAGCACAAACGGATAATGATTCTCCATATCACGAGCATTATAAAAACTACGATAACCATGACATCCAACAACCAGATGATGCAATTATGAAAAATTCTTTAAGTCCATTTGTATATTACAGGAGAGGGTATGCATAATAAATCATTTTAAAATTTTCATTCTTGAAAAATGTATTTGCTTAAATCATAACTTACTAACAAATTAAGTGAGGTATAATTTATGTAATATAATATTTAATAAAATAATACATTTCTATTTATTGTTTATTCATACCACAGATCAATGTATATAGATGAGGATGGTGATATAGCACATGAATTTTATGTAGAAACCAAAATAGGATCAAAATTAACTCTAAAACGAATCAGTAACCAACATCTAAAACCTCAAGTAAGTTTGTGGTTTGACTAGGTATTAAAAAAATGTTTCTTTATCTCGTCTATCTGGAATTTGTAAGCTTATAGTTCATGTTAATTTAGCTTCAAATTAAGAGGAGCACTTGAGTAGAAATGTAAGTTTAATACATTTTTCTATTCATGGATCTTCTTTTTTTCTTTAAATTATATTTATATTAATAAGATATTTTTTATTATTACTTAAATATAACACTCACTATCTGAATGAAAAATATGCAATAAATAAATAATATGTTCACAGAGAGAAATAATATTTTTAAAAATGTGAGCAAGTAGGTACCACACTGCTTTACAGTAGATGTCTTGTGAGTTCATTGTAATAGATGTGTTAAACTTTAATTGATTGTTTTAAAATCATTGTATACCAAAACAATACTAAGCTTAAATCAGGAACAATTATAACATAGCAAAAATATAATAACAAATAATATCTGTATAAAACTACTTTTGTACAATTTGTTTGACTATAATGTATGTATATTGTATACATTCTGACACGCTATTAGAAACTTTGAAATATATATGTGAATATATAAAAATATATATGTTTATTTTTTCAGAAGTTTAAATTAGTAGCTTATAATTAAAGAGCCGATAATTAGGTACTTAAAAACTTATACTCGTAATATGATTTCTCTAAAAAAAACCTTAAAATATTCTCTTAATAGTCCTCAAACTGGTAAAATATACTGAAAATATTATTGTTTTTTACTTCAAATAATTTAAAAATCTGTATACCAGTTACAATAGAAATATATTATGTACAAAATGTTGTATAAGCATAGATTTTATAGTACACTTGTATGTATATCAAATATATTTTAAAATCAATGGTATAAGTTAACATTAAACCTTATAAATTTATAATATTTACATGTACCATTCATTTATTGCACACCATGTAATAATATGCTTAAATTTGAAAATAATTATTGCATACCTTTTTTTTGGTAAATTATTTTGATTCAATCACACTTAAAATAATCAACTAAACTAAATTTAAATTCAATTAGAAACAAATTAATGAACAACCTCTATAATTTTTCAATTTTAAATTAAAAAAAAAAAAAATTTGCGACAAAATATTTCAATTCTAGAAATTAACAAATTTGACTTTTTTTATGAACAAATAGTTAAATATTTGCTTTTGTTTTTCCGGCGTTTTTATACGCTGCTGCAAATTTTCAATTTTGACCCCTTGAATGCACTAACTAGATGGATTCACATTATTCTCGTGTACACACACACACACACACATACACATACACACAAACTGTAAAATCAATACATTATTTTCTGGGCTCAGAATCTAAAAGAAATAATTTACTTATATTATTGTAATATACCTACAAATATGTAAGTAGAATAGGTTATACCTATAACACTATACAAGCGAGTGTGGGACATATGTTGATTTTAGTATTTTATCATATAAATTTCACATTATTTTCTCTCTTGTTTGTATGAATATTATAGAAAATAAAAACCATCAAGAAAAAACTTCATTTTATATTTATGATATTAAGTATTATTAAATCAGTTCACTTCTATAGTCTATAGTCAAATATGGCCTATAGTCAATGCCTAATGTTTTAAGTTAACTATTTTTTGTACAGTTCAAGTCAATTTTTTACATTTATTACCATTTTTATTTACAGGGTGATGTACCTTTAGATGTGCCGTGCCTAAGAAACGATTATCCAGTTGTCTTATTGGACCAGAACAGAATGAAGGAATGATTGGTTTCGTGAAAAGAAAACATTTTTTTTGATCATCGTCGTTCCTATGATATTGTTCTTTCTCTGGAAGATTTTAAAAATAATTTAAAAAAATTAAATTTTATTAATATATTGCTACAAATATTACAGTATTCATCCAGTTATATTAATAAAAATTACAGAATATGAAATACTTATCTTGGTTCACTGGTTGCAGTTAATATTTACTTAGTATTGGTAACATCCACATGTATGTATAAATTACAGTATCTAAATTAACTGAATAAATTTATCAAGTCATTACTCCCATGTTTGTGTTTTATATGATATAATTGATTGTATTAGGTTATTGAAATTATTTTATTGGAATTTGTATATCAATTGTTTTTTACTCATTCAACTTAAGACGTAACATACAAGTGTGATGTCATGTTGTTTAAATTAAAAAAAGCCATAACACTTTTGGCGTGTTAAAGTATTTTTACTAGATAACTTGTGACTGACAAAATAACTAATAATATTTCACCTAAGTTAGTTCATTATTAAACTCATTGATACACAAAAACAAAATTTAGTTTAAGAACTTAATCAATCAATGACTGCAGGAATTCTTTCAATCATCCTTATAACAATAATCAATTATTAAAAAATATGTTTCATTCTTATTAATAAAATTCTAATTTTAATCTTTTTGTTTGACATATTAAGAAAGTTTCCCTTCATCACTGATTTAAACAATGATTTATGATTTTAATATTAACGATTCATATTATAATTTTCAATGTTTGCCAATTAATATGATTGGCTTAAAGAAACAAGTTTAAATTATATTTATATTATTAGATGAATGTAATATTATAATTTTAGTAATTTTCCTTATACTTAAATATTTAATATATAGTTCATTGTTGTGTTTGTTTGTCTTAGGCATATAAGTAAATAAAGTCATATTGTTTTGTGTTTGTTTGAAAATATTGATATTATGTAACATTTTATTACATTAATAGCTTCTTCTTATTTTTAATTGATTTAGCTTGATACTTAATTACTTTAGTTCATCATAGATATTTTATATTAAAAAGAAGTTATTGAAAGGTTGTAATGTAAGTGCTGTATTTATTCGATTTTAACAGTTAAAAATATTGTTTTCATTATCGCTGTTTTATATATCTATATATATACAAGTTTAAGTTGAGAACAAAAGTCTCATTTTATTACATCAAATAGTATGGATTTTAACAATTGATATGTATATTATTGTTTACTTACATATTTATATATTTTATTGACAGTATTCTTATTGATTTTACATAAGTGTATTCATAATAAAATAATAAAACTTGATGATTTGTATTTGGTAGTATGGTAATTTAACTTAATCCTCATCCTACAACACATAATATTAAAAAAGATAATAATTAATTTAGTAAAATCTTATCATTCAAACTCAAATTCCAATATCTTCTTCTACAACTTTACAAATATTTTAGATATAATATCTTAACTCTGAACAAAATCTCTACCTAATAATTAATGCACGCTTCTGAATATTTAATTGTTTACCATTACTCAGAATAATTTAATTCCATATTTAAATAAATACACTTACTAGTTAAAAAAAATACTTAAGAAATGTATGGACTCCAAATAGCCTTGGCTCTATTTTTCGTAAGCTTTATTATTTATAATATAAATATTTCATATAGAAATATATGGAGACAGTAACTGGCATAAAGATATGTCCACCCATACATTATAGATTAGGTTTGATTACCTATTATTAAATATATTATACAAAAAATTATTTATATTTAACAAGTGATCATATTCATAAAGTACAGACTACAGTGTGAGATTTGGTTGGCTAATTTTATATTTGGGGCCGACAAGCCTCTATCTCACTGTATCAATAAATAAGTTTATTTTCCAAGTTTATTTAAATTTTTGGAACAAAAACTAAATTTTTAATCAACAAGCATGCAAATTATAAATATCATTTGAAGATGCTATTGGTCACTAGTTGCAAAATAAAGCTTATTTCATACTTTGGCCATTTATGATTTATAACTTGTTATTTTAGATTCTTAATAGTATTTATATTTTTTAACTTAAAGAAAAGTTTTTTTCATAAAACTGGTCATGGATTTAATAAGCTTACTCCATTAGGGTCATTAGTAGTCGAACCTTTAAAGAAATTTGCTAAGTTGTTAGGAAAGGATGGTTACCTACCTCGAAACGCATGATAATAATTTGTACCGTAAAAATTCTGTACTGAACGGAAAACAATTTTTAAAATCGTATAATAATCCAGAGCTAGAAGCTGTAAACCAAATAAATTCACAGGGCTTAAAACTAGTTAAAGAAAATATATCTAAAGACTAAAATAGACTAAAACCTATAATTGAAAGTTTGATTTTTCTCAGGCGGCAAAATATTGCTTTACGTTTTCATCGCGATGATGAAAGAGTTAATGATCTATCCGATAACCCATTAGAGAACAAAGGACATTTTAAAGAGCTTCTAAAGTTTAAGATATTATCTGGAGATATCGCATTAGAAAATCATTTTAAAAATGCTGAAGCAACAGCTACTTATATAAGTAAAACAACTCAAAATACTCTTATTTCGATAATTGGAAATATAACTTAAAAAAATATATTGAACAAAGTAAATAAAACAAAATATTTTAACTTAATTTTCGATGAAACAACTGATGTATCTAAAACTTCACAATTGGTATAGTTTTAGGATACGTGTGCGACAAAACTATAAATGAAGACTTTATTAGGTGCATTTATACTGTCATAAAAATAACTACGATCAATCTAGTGTTAATACTGAACAAAAAATGACCGTAGAAATAATAGGAAAAACTGTAATACATATTTTATATAGTTTAGCTTTACCTATGAATAATTGTGTAGGATATAACTACAGATGGGTGTTCTGTGATACAATCTGAAAACTGCGGTGCAAATAAATTATTACAATCTCAAATTAAATTTGCTATAAAATGTTCATGTTTTAGTTATGCTCTAAATGTATCTGTTACGGGTAATGTTAATATTCGGATAATGTCGACATTAGCCATCCGTGTTGGCTAATGTGTAATTTTTCGTTTATAAACTTGAAATATCAACATTATCCGGATAATGTTAACCTTAGCCAGTCAATTTTGGATAATGTTAAAAGTTATGTACTAAATAGGCTATAGAGATTACTGATTAGGTAATAATATTCAAGTGGTGAATGAAAATTGTTGTTAGGAAGCATCAAAGGACGAAGGATTATGTGACTTAATATCTATAAGATAGGTATATGATATTGATATTTGAAAATTTTAAATTGCCTATATTTTTCTAAATAACTAAATATAATATAATAACTATTTTTTTTACAGAAATCAATCGATAATAATAAAAAAAATTCTGAAATTTGTTTGATAAATCCAGCTGAAAAAATGAAATTTAGGTCTATAAGTTTCCCCCTAGCTAACGTCGGAGATAGTGTGAGAGTCACTTTACCCGATATCGACAGAGGACGAGCAGACCCAAGAAATATTTTATTTGCAGTTGTGACTATTGAGGACGAACAATATTATAAACTTGGTACTAAAAATGGTACTTTGCTACAGTTTTATACCAGAAACCAGTTGGTGTTTGTCTGATATCATTAATACCGCTTGATGAGGAGGTACCTATAGAAAAATCATTGAGGGAAATTGCTGGTCTAATATCAGATGGTAGTGATGGTCAAGAATAAAAAAGGAGTTCATGCAAAGGTAAATATGACACCAATCGTTGTAAATGTAAATCATCTAATATTTTGTGTAATTCAAAATGTCACGGAAGTATGCCATGTAATAATAAATAATAACACATTAATTCGAATAGAATTAAAAAATCTTAAAATATAAAATAAAATTTAATATTGTATTATTAGTATAAACTCATTTAAATTATACTCGTATTATGTATTTTATGGTAATTAGTAATTATTGTATCTTTTTTTTTGCATATGGTTAATTGTAGGTATCTAAAATATATTTAATATTGCTAATAATTTAAATGATTTCATATCATGCATGATGCAATTTTATAGTTGTTAAAACATTATCCATAAGTCTTTGGCTAATGTCATATTAACCGGTTAATGTTAACATTAGCCAGAATTTAATAATATTCATGGCGGGTAATGATAACAGTTGGCTAATGTTGTCATTAGCCGGATAATGTCGACATTATCCAAATGTTAACATTACCCGTGACATATCAATAATGAAAGGTTGTAAACAAACATTTGGAATTATTAAAGAAGTAGTAAGTTTTTTTAATACTTCAGAAAAAAAAATTTGTTTAAAAAATATTTTAAATAGGTAGTTCATTAAAGTTTTTATGTGAAACTAGGTCTAGGTAAGTCGAAAAACATGATTCCATTATGCAGTTTTCTTCGAATTTGGTTTTAATTATTGAGCATTAGATATAATATCTAAATATAACGATCTTGAAACGTCCTCAAAAGCGTCTATTCTAATAAAATCATTGTCAAGTGCGGAGTTTATTTTAACATTAAATCGTATATCAATATATTTTCAATAACTGCACCAATAAGTAGAATTTCGCAATCAAAAAGTCAAGATAAACTGTCGGCTTCTAAATTCATAAATAATGTACTTGATTGATTTAAAAGAAAAACGAAAAAAGAGCGCTGAAATTTTTAATTTAATAATAGTATACAATGCTTAGAAAAAATAGGAATTGTTGACGATATTAAAACCCCAAGAATAACAAAAAAAGTTACTCAAAGAGCTAATCCACAAACTAAAAATCCAGAAGATTATTTTCGTACTGTTTTGTTTATTCTATTTTTAGATGACTTAATTACCGACCTTGAGTATAGATTTGATGAAAAATCAATGTCAGTGTTTGATTTAGATATAATTTTGCCAACTTTTATTCATAATAAAGAAGTTTTTAATAACCAAAAAGAAATCCAAAATAAAATTAACAATATGATGGCACAATTTTTTGAATTAATATCTATTAACTTGAACTTATCGAAAGACCTCGTAAAAAATATTTCGAAGGAGAGCTTAAATTATGGCATACATATTGGACAAATAAAAAAGAAATTCCAAAAACATCATTAGAAGCGTTTGAAAGATGTGATTCCGAAACCTTTCCAAATATTTATAATTCTTTTCTAATACTCCTAACATTACTATTGAATTATAAAATAAATAAATAAAGAAAACACATCGCCTTTAGATCACTTTCATAGTTTATTTAATTA